CGTACTTCGATGCACTCTCAAAATCGATAAACGGTGTCCGATTCCAACGAAATGTCATTTAATCGTGTTTTCTCATCCCAGTGTTTGATCAGATAAGTTGGATCAAGGTTGCTAGATTCGACTTCCCATTTAACGGTTTGCAATCTCCTCAATATAGATTTATGGGCTGAATTTCCCCGAATAGTTTGATTCTATTTTCGTAATTACACAGTTAAACAAGTTATCGTGTTTATGGTTGGTAAGTTACGCCCTTGAACTATCAAATGAGTCCAGGTGTCAGGGCTTAGCTTAAGATTAAAGAAAGGAGGAGACAATGAATAAAGAAGAATGAAGGTGATTCCTTTTTGCTTACCTGAGACCAATCTACGGATCTAACCACCCACTACAATTAAAGGTGGCAGTGATTAGTTCATCCAGGTCACTGGAGCTATAAACACCTAGGTGCACACGGAGTGCCCCACCTCCCCCACATTATCGGATATAAGAACTACCGTCTCCATACGGATCCTGGCACCTGCGTCGGGAGGCCCGCATCATCTTGGATCACATATAACCCATGGGTAGACCTCACATGCGCTGGGAGGCGGGTATGCAGTCAGATGATGGTCGGCTATTGAACAAACTTCCCACTCGGATTTCACACTGAATTGACATCCCGAACCGGAATCTTACAAGTAGCGGTGTGCGTGGACACCAGGAGAAAGGGAAAGTCGCAGGGTATCGTTTATTGCTTGACAATAGCGTGAGCCGTTACTAACGTACTACGTGCGAACATTGGTACGCCACTGTGCTATTAACTGTGTGGGTTTAATTTGAATTTTAGGTAACAAAAGATCTTTACACGTCAACTAGGTGTATGCGCTTAGTTTGTGCGTTTGGTAAGTCTCATAAGCAGATCACTGCTTACGTAGCTTAACCCAAGTGACTATGTGTACAGATGAATTGAACGGGCATCTAACTCTTGCTGTACGGGTGCAAGCTGTGTGGCAGACAAAGTTGTTGGGGAAGACAGGATGTGTAGTCGTCGTGATCGTGTCACGCTCAATCAGTGGTTTACTTAAGGGTCACTTACGACCCAACTACCGCCTTGTGTAAGACCAGTGCGCGTAGATCCCAGTTACACTGGAGGTGTGCATAAATGGACCACGACACGACCGGACCTTTATTCACAGACCAGCGTGTTCATATCGGTGAAAGACAGTAAGGGTTGCGAAGCTATTCACCCGTAATCCTCCAATAGGCAGGGTCATTCAGTGGCTTATGAAAATATGCCGGCCAGGGTGAGGTACAAAGGATTGAGTGGGTATAGTATGTGGCCAGGAGGCTCACACCCACCTTACGCGGTGTGCCGTACGAAGACCGGTGCAAGAATGCAGGTATTCTCATCATGACGCATCGGATTTTACATCTTGGTGATTACACCATGTTGAGGCCGCTGCTTAATATGCGCACAAGAAGCAGCACACAGGGACACCAGTACAAGCTTGCAGTACCTGATTTGAAGCGGGTCTCCCACCAACCCTGCTTCCAAAGGGGAAGTGGTTAATATTTAGGACAACTTGCCACCGCACGTAGTGGAAAGCCAGCGTTTAAATTCGAAAATTTCCTCGACACACATTTCAGATTTGAAATATCTGGAATGCTGTCCAACACAATAGGTCAGTATCTCTGATAGATTTGATATGTGGCTATAAGGTAATCAGTAACGGTTCGCGGCGACAACAATCCATATATATATATATATATATATATATATATAAAGCTGTGAAACAGATATTGTACCCTTAGAATCATGGCGGAATAAGAAAACAGGATAGAAATAGGATAAAAAAAGAACATGCACATTTTTGTCTAGCTTCATTCGCAATTTTTGAGCGTTTTAGTTGTTTGTTTTATTGGGGAAGGGAAATCACAGCAACACGCATAGATACATGTTCGCTATTGACGTCTGTCTTGTGCCGTGACTTCCAGGTTCTCTAACCAGTGACACTGTGTATCTCTGAAATCCAAAACAGGGAGTGGACAACAGCCAACCAAAGTCAACTGTTTCGTCAGATTTTCTCATGTGCCTTCTCTAAGTTATAGGCCGTCCACCGCGCCGTCTCCTCCAGCCTTGTCCAGCAACGGCGAACAACGATGAGCGGACATGCGCAGTACGTGTCCAAGGTACCGCAGTTGACCCAGGGAGACGAGCTTCTCTAGCGTGTGGCTGCCTCCACTCAAGACACGCTGTCTAACTTCCACATTGGTTACGTGGTGCGGCCACCACACACAGGCAATGGACCGCAAGCAACGGTGCTCGAAGACAGAGAGTCGGCGTAGGTGAACGGTACGGACAGGCCAAGTCTCGCAACCGTACAACACTACAGCGCGGACAGTCGCACAAGAAACCCGCTCTTTGATGGAGAGACGGATGTCATGGCGGCACCACAAGTGCCTCGGATCAGAGAAAGCGAGATGAGCTCTTGTGGTACGCATCGAAATCTGTGTTCCACCATCAGTGATACAACTTCCCAGGTAGGCAAAACTCTCCAGAGGGAGTTAGTTTCGCTCAAAGAGCGAGTGGCGCCTCAAGCGTACTTCTTATACATACTGACATGTCCTCGATGAGGTCTTCCTGCTACAATGAGCTGAAACTATGGTTCCCTCAAGTAGATGAAGCGAGCGGGAATATCGTGGTCTTCACAACATTCGAAGACACAGCTTTCACGGATGATCCTTTTGAAGAGAAGTCATACTCAAATAATCGATAATGGCAGCTTGTACGACGTATGCTGCTACATCCATCACAAAAGCACAGGTAGTTCTAACCCATGTGAAGTTAGTCGTCGATGCAGTCGAATGAGCTATCGAGTGTAATGAGAGGGTGATGCTCCGGTGGGACCAGACAAATAATCACTAGACATTGATGGTGGGTTCAAGCTACCAGTTAATGAACACCGCTCTATACAAAGTGCCTTTAAAAGTTACTGAACAAACCACCAATTGCGAATATCCGGAAGTTATATCTTGTTATCGCGCGGGTCTTTTGCGGTAACTGCTCAACAAGGGTACAATGAACACGAGTCAATGTGATTGCTTACGATACCAATAAGACCCTGTCTGCCTGCAAATCTCAATGAAAGCGGGAAGCAGGATGTGTCAGTTCGTCCAGGTGTGTGACACTGCTGCATGGATTATAGAGGTGACTATCAAGCTTTGTAGACTGTCTCTGATCATCAGCGACTGTAAACTACTACCTTTATTTGGCTGAATCACTGGGTGAGTAATATCGTGCTTTATCCGTTGGAGATTGATGGCAAATTATCTGGTGCAACAATGGGCAGTCCACTAAGCATGAACTATTTAAGTTGTTTATAGGCGTCCGGATCGGTAACCATTGCACGCCATATCTGCAGTCGACAGTTCCGGTCGAATGTAATCACTGGAAAGTTAATAAATGAACGGGCAAAAAAATTAGCAAGAAACCAACCGAGAAATCCGGTCAGGTTGATACGCGTATCTAGGGATGGAGGTCTCGGGATTGGCCACGTCAGAGGGCAGAGACCTTACCCATCGCGGTTCAGTAGCCAATTCAGTGGCGCTCTTACAAACAGCCTCCTACCGTTGGAGTTTTATCCGACAAGTGCAGCTGTTTTGCACATCGGTCTCATTGGGTTTAGAGCTACCAGTTTGCGCCTTCTTCGTTGCTTCCCTGAATCGGTCATTTTTGACTCCAAAGGCAAACACCGCTCTATGGAGCTAGGATTAATTCCGCTGAGTCGGAACAAAATGAGAATACCACACTGAGTTGATGATAGTCGCTGTCTCTGATTGGCTTCAATGCCACAGTAAAACCCAACCACACCAATTGCGAAAATCAGACCAATGGTTAAGTTGATCAGAAGACAACGATGAATCCGTTTTCTGGAATATTTTGTGGAAAATGTATTAAGGTGATCAAAGTGAATGAATGGGACCAGAGGGAAAGTGACACGGTGAACCAAGACGGTTGTGACTTCGCGGTATGATGCAGGTCACAAAAGGCGGAGAGCAGCTCTAATAACAGATAGTTTTGAGGATGAAGAAGACAGTCGCGAGAAAAATATGGCAAAACGATATCTAGTGAAAAATAGCGACTATGATTGAGTGCGAAGAATGAAAATACCTCGCGCCGTTTGCATTCCACTGCCCGGTTTCCTGTATGAGACGAATGTGTACGCCTTTTTTGCTGTTTCCGAACAGCTGTATTTCCAAGCATAGACTAATCCATTGAGTTTTCACACTATCTGTCTAATAGATATGGCGTGTGAAATAGCCTGTGCTGCTGCTGCTGATGCTTAGTAGCTGTCAGTCGTAAACCTTCACGTGAGTCAGCTGTATCCTCATGGCTTCGGCCTAATTTCTCGGGCTTAAGAGGGGTTACGAGTGTGTGTGTGTGTGTGTGTGTGTGTGAGTGTGTATGTGTTTGTGAAAGTATGTGTGTGTAAAAGTGTGGATAGCAGAAGCGACTGTTCGCAACTAGGACAATCAATGGGCTTAGAAACAGAGTTCGCGAACTAAGAAGCCATTGCTTGCATAGCATATAGCTCTGTGCAACTGACGTATTTGTCTCCCATGAACCTTCGGTGGTCGCCAGTCCTGTGCGTTGGTTTGTCTTTGTGCTCTGCAGCAAACTGAATGGCTAATTATGCTTAACCGCTTCACAATGGACATACCTGTTTGCTGGGCGGATATCGGTGTTGGGCTCGTTACTGAGCGCACCTGGTCGAGTTTCATTACGCGACGGCTGCCCGGCTGCAAAAGGTGCCCGTCCGAGATCGAGGCCCGGGATGAGAAAGATATTTCATACCAGTTCATAGGAAAGCGAAAGGTTTGCCTACTAATGAGACAACGCCGCTATTCGAAGGACATTACCATACGAGGTTGCTGTCTGACTCATTAACTCGGCCTATAACAGACATGATAGACAAAACTCATGACTTTACGAATTATTAAGCTTGCACGATCGAACAACGTACTCCGCGTGAACAAGGTGTCCCGTCCGGAACCATGCCAGCATCCTGGGTGATCGCACCTAACTGGCCCACAGCAGCTGCGTTCCAGTTGAGTTGACGCGTATTGTTCGTGGCCCATGTAGTCGGATCGGCGGCCGGCCAGAGGGGATCGTAGACTACAGAAGCGCATGTTTCCCTCACCGACGGCAATTTTCGCGTCTGTGATTGTACCACTCCCAAAAGTAACGCCTTTTCGTTACGATGATGACACCATAGACGGCCGCACTCGGTGTCGTACCTAAAAGGATCGGAAAGGGGTAGAAATGAATCAAGGAAGAACAGTAAGAGAGAAGTATTCCCATAAGATGCATCGACAGCTATCGTGCAGCGGCTGATACATGTTGAAGTGAAAGGAAGAACGTACCGTTCGTCTGAAACTCACCATGAGGCACATTCGATGGGGGGCCACGATTTCGCACCCTCCCAACGTTCGCCTTCGGGTGGTCGTCGTTTGCCACAGTTTGCAACTTGATCCACCTTACCGTCCGAGTGTCGGCGACCGTTTTCGTGAAAGCAGCTTGGATGTGCAATTCGGGCCGTCTTTCCCCACAGCACTCGACACCAACTGTCCGACTCTCGGCAACCACCTCGTATGCAGTAAGACTAGGATCACAGAAGGGCAGAATGATGGAAGGGAATACAAATATTTCGACTAATCAACGTGACATTTGTAAAAGGGGTGATGGGATTCACTATGTGACAAGGCTGTCATAACGACGATGGTATTGTGAAGCACCATCCGAAGACAAGTTCAAGCAGAAAGGAAAGAGAATATGTACACGTGTGTGAAACGGAGGCGTTTCTTAAATGTACGAACCACTTGCATTCGCTTTCTTTCTCCTATTGGGTCAAAACAGATGGGCATTATTATTCGCGCCTTCAACCTGTCGCTCCAGGAACCGAGCTAGGCTCCGTGTGCGTATGATGCCTGCAGAGCAGCAGCAGACAGGTTGCAATGCGCCCCATTAGTGCCTTTGGTTCAGAGGACTCACCTGTTGCTGTCTTAAATCGAACGGAAAAATTAGTGTAATAGACACAGTTCTGTTTAAACTGATTTTAGAAGCAACATTTGTGATTCAACGAATCGCTACATGATCACGGGTGCTATGGCATTTGAACCATTAATGCAATCTTTTTGAGTAGGTAAAGCTGAAGGCGAATGGATAAACAAAAACGATGTACAAATGAGGAAATGAACAGCGCAGTGATATGTGCCTATCGTAAAGGTATACGTATACACATTCACTATGCAGATCTGGTTGTCGGTTCGGTGTGTTGAGAGCGATTAATTGTTTTGTCAACTCTGATACAGTGACTAGGGGATTGGGATGAATCAATGTGATATGTCACATCATGAGATAATCGCGAAAATATTGACAATATCGGTCGGGTGTTCTCAAAGCTCACAGTGTCCAGTGACAACATACAAAGTCTCCCTGGTGCCAGAAATCGCCATAGTTGGGAGAGTATGCTTTCGTAATAGAGGTCAATTATGAACAGAAGAAAGAACTTGAGAGAAGGATGGATTACGTTCTACCACTGACTGCTCATGTTGATGGGATGTCCTAAAACAGACTTGAAGGTGAGAGGTCTGCAAAATATCTTGAGGTTGAATAGATGGACGAGCGGATGCCGAATTGGAATCATGTTGGATCTCGTAACGCATCAAGTCGGGTATTCACTAAAAATGCGCAAGCGTTGCGGCTAGAAATTTACACTATCAAAGGTTTGTACAAAGGCTAACATGAGGCAATAAATGACCCTCACGGTAACAGACACCAGAAAACATTACCAGTGATCATGATTCAAGCACCGTGCTGTGGTGAATAGTGCAACATATGGAAAGGATCTGACTAGACCGTACGGTTATTTGGGAAGACTTTGGAAGGACAATGTCTTCGCAATAATCGTACAAAGACGAGTGATAACTGATCCTGAAGCTCGAAGAGTGCGAAGAAAAAGGGTGGAATGCACTCAGAATTAACTAATGGTTGGCTTGCCGAACAACCTCATCGTGGTGCCAGCTTCGTGGTTCAGGATTTTCCAAATCCAGCAAATGGTTTGGAGGCAGTGTCCAGGACGTCGTGGGTTTCGCCTGGCAAGCGTTTTCCCTACAAAAAGCCACATATGTCCGTTTAACAACATTGTGACGTGGCGGATGTGACTCGCCACTAAATAAAGTCACTGCCCCTTGCTTCATCCTGGCGAAGCATTGTGTTCTAGCAAGTTTATGCTGTAACTCTGGGGAGCATTGGGCCCCTGTTTGACAAAGAAACAAACGAAAGGTGTATGAACTGAGCAATCAGTCACCGGCTCCCAATGGGCACGATTCCCTGAACTCGCTCCGCTGCCTTGCGGGCAGGCTATTCGGCCAAAGACTCGGAGTAGTGTCCCGTAGATCAACACCCTACTTCATCTTGAGCAACCGGGTAGTATCTCGCCCTCTGACGAAACCATGGACTTTGATGTGTTGTGCATTCTTTTACAATTTCGCTTTAGTCCCATGGTTTCTGGTGGCTCTATGTCTATTCGTAAACGGTTGAAATATATATATAGATATATATATATATATAGTGATAAGATTGTGTTGCTAACGAAAGCAGTGGTGATCCGGTGTACCTGCAAAGCACAGTGTTAACAAAGCGGCAGTAGGATAGTAGTTCATGCACTTCGCTCGAATGTTCAATTCGAATGTGCAACCAAGACCTAAGCCATGACAACCTACCATCAAAAGGGATAAGATACAAATACCGCTTGTCTTTAGAGGTACCACCTCAGCTGCCTTTAGATATGGTACTATTTCAGTTCTAAAATGCATTGCAGGTGCACTCACGGGACGGAATGATGAATGTAAGGGAGTTATGAGACTATCAGGTGGCTAAAACGAGGGGGACATAAAAGAGGTGCAGAGGACCACTCACTGCACTACTGACCAAGGTCGTCCTGATTATAGTACTTAACGGTAGTGGAGGGAAATGAGGTAGACGGTGTTGGAAGCCTGAGATGGAAATGTTGCCAATTCGGAGAAGTAGACAGAATGCAAAAGCATCAGCAACTCCTCGACCGATTAGCCTTCCAATGCTAATAACGGAAGTAGAACACAACTTATCATTGAATCAGCGCCAACGGAATCACACGGTAGCCAGTTAGATGAAGCAGCAGCGCAACAAACGGTAGTTGGACAGTGTTCATAGTAAGGCACGCAAATGAGTGAGCAAACGTTCTTTACCATGTGTTTGAGTGCAGTGTTTCCAATAATGAGCCGTTTGGATAACAGAAAAATCGTTATACAGCATAAAACTCGAAACAGCAGCTAAACTGAGAGTGACACGTAAGCCTGTCCATCGCATTCATCTCATTGACTGGGTCACTTTCAACAACCTGATCAATACCATGATTTGTGAGCCACTATTTTTAACCCATGATCCAATCTTAGCCTTTAAATAATGGATGCTGCCATCCACAGTGATAGAACTAGATAACAGCACCAAAGCACAAAGGTGGCCCAAGAACTGCAATGCCAAATTATCACCTGATTAGTCATACTGCGGCCGCTTCTAAGGCTCTGGAGCGAATAGTTAAGAATGGTTTTGTTCACTTGCTCACACGACTAGACCAGATAATCAGCATACAACACGGATTTCTTACGAAGCGATCCAGCGTAACATGTCCACTGCAACTCTTTGACCATGTAACATCCGTCGTTGACAGTGGCATAGCAGTTATCGTCATCCTACTAGAAGGACTTTGGTCGTGTGCCACACTAACCACTGCTATCAGCCCTGAACTCTTACGGAATCAGCAAACCCATTTCTAATCTGGTTCAAATACTACTTGGAAGATCGGAAACAAGGAGTTCAAATCGGTCAGCACCTTTCCTCTTCAAAACAAGTCACAAGTGGTGCAGTGCAAGAAAGTGTGCCTGGACCACTACTCTTCTCAATCCATATAAACACTATATGTGATTGTATAAAATACGGACAAGCATATCTGTTTGGGGACGATATTAAATTCGTTTACTCATTTCCAACTGCTACTCTTGAATTGGGCCTTAGGGATGTACATAAGGACATATCTGCGTTAAATTCGTGGAATAGAAGTTGATTCATGAACATTTCCGTTGAAAAATCGCAAGTGCTTGGGTATGAATGCTGCATTCCTGATGGTGCCATCACTCTGGCTGTTACAAACATTCCAAACTCCTCATTAGTATGAGACTTTAAGATAATATACGCTACCTTCCTCAACGTTGCCCAGCATGTTTCGCGCCAGATAGCAAAAACAACGCAACTAAAAGCCCACGTCCTTAAGTCTTTTGTTCTCCCCGGAGCGCAATTAAAAATGTTTAAGCTCATGGTGAGACCTATGCTAGAATACTGCACAATCATCCACAGTCACATGCGTAGGACCGATGAAATGGTCCTGGATAATATCCAGCGGTGACTCAGAAGAATGGTCAGTGAACGACCTACTGCTCTCGTCGCCTGCAATCAGACCCTCCGTGGCTACACCAACTGAGCAACAGACTTGTTCTTTTATACAGTGTTATATAGTGCCGGGTATACACTACGGAAATAGCCCTCACCTTCCAAAATTCCTCTAACTATCCCACTAGAAATAGGGGTTACAAACTGCCCACACAAAAGGAGAAACTAAAAATCCGTTCCAACATTTTCCTGGTACGGTATACTTATTTATGGAACAAGCTGTTATTAAAAGCACGTGCAAGTGAGAAACTAGCCAAATTTAAATTGAATTTGGAGGCTTTCCTCAATATGCCGAATATAATGAGAATATTCGTTTTTCGAGTGCCTACAGATGTGTTAATTGTATCTGGTCAAACAATATATGACAGATGATTCAGGTTCATCTAATCCCAGCATATCTACATGGAAATGCCAAGTTTGACGCCTCACTTGGAGGTGAAGAAAAACTACCTGTGTATCGCTTACTCGTTACCTCTTCCGTATGCTTTCAATATTCTGCTCGGCTATGCCAACGTGACAATTCACACCTTTACGTTCGTTGTGTGGGGAGCTAACATATTAATAACTTGAAAGCTGTTCCAATTTCTGTAAACATTTATCCCACTAACCAATATGATGACTTCCTGCACTGTCGTGTGACAGGTTATTATTTGTATAAGTATTTCTTTGTTACTTCTATCTTTCATATTTATTATCATATTTCATTATATATAATTCGGCGACTTTTTCTTTTATTGCTGACCACGACTAGGCCTGTCTCCTGAGGTGTTGGAATGAAGCTTCCAAGCAAAATGTTTACCCACACGAGTCGAATAGCCAAAGACTCCCTGGTGAGCAGAAAAAGGCTGCTGAACAAAAAAAACCCTGAACTGTTAATGGCACAGGCCGGCAATTCCGGTGAATTCGGTCATTATGTGCACACACACACAAAGAAAACGATGAATGATAAACGGGCTGAATGGCTGTGGCCAGCTCACGAAAAAAGAAGTCCATTTGATAAGCAAAATCGGTGATGGCTAGCACGCTTCTGAGTCACAATGACACATGACCAGATGGGGTGTGGAGGTGAGGATGAAACCTCACGAGTGACTGTCCCACATAGAACCAGGTCCCAAG